GGGGGCAGGGTGGGCAAAGCCTGGCAAATTCCAGAGGTTGAGGAGCTAAGACTGAGAATCTAGGGAAACCAAGCCAGCTAGAATGTCCAGTACACAGGACTGAAGAGGGTTAAGTTGCCCAGGAGAAAACTCTCAGAGATCTGCAGGTTTCCTCCAGTATCCATGAGAGTAATGAATAGCATATAGGTTTGAAGAAATTATCTAAGGCTGAGAAAAAAATTGTCCCAAAAAGTCAGAGGGAATACGACTCAGCACTCACACAGGACCAGGAACAGTATCTGTTCCCAATAGTCAGACCAAAAGTCTTGGTAATTCATGAGGCACCTGTTACAGTATCCAAGAGTTTTGCCTCAGTCAGTAATGGGGTGAGTTAATCCTAAATAGTTCTCAAATTCTGCCTAACAAATCTTAAATCATGTCCTGGATACAATGGTTTACAAGTAACGTATGTGTGTCCCAGAACAATACTCAAGAATATTTATAGAAATACAAACTATCAAGTATCCAGTAAGGTAAAATTCATATTGCCTAGCATTCAATCCAAATGATAAGGCATGCAAAGAAGCAGGAAAGTACATCCAATAATGAGAGTGAACCAACAGACACCAACTGAGAACTGACAAAAATATTAGAATTAGCAGGCAAGGACATTAGAAATTACTATACCTTTAATCCATTTGTTGAAAATTTAAGTAAAGATAGTGAAGATATAAAAAGAAGATCCAAGTCATGTGCTAATTAACTGGGGCGGGGGGCGGAGAACCCTCTCACAATCATATGTATCGAATCATGTTGTATACCTTAACCGGCTTACAGTTTTGTCAACTGTACCTCGACAGAGCTGAAGAAAAAGAGTAACAATCAGAAGTGATGTAAATCAAACTTCTAGAGAGAAAAACTATAATGTCTAAGATGAAGATTATACTGTAATTGCTGACTAGACACTTCAGGAAAAAAAAAAAGACAAGTGGGCTTGAAGACCTAGTAATACAACTATCCAAAATGAAACAGAGAAAAAATAATTTAAAAATAAACAGCATATCAGTGAGCTACGGGATAACATCAAGAGGTCTTATATAAGCGTAGTTGGAGTTTCCAAAGAGAAAATTGAGGACAAAACTTTTTTTTAATAATGGCCAAAATTTTTCCAATTTTGATGAAAATTATAAACCTGCAGATCCATGAAGCTCAATGAACTCCAAGCAAAAGGAACATGAAAAAAACTGTATTAAGACACATTATCATCCAATTGCTCAAAATCAGCCAGAGAAAAATGACACATTATGTACCTGACAGCATAGTTCTTACAGGAGAAAATAACAAGCCGGAGGACAGTGAAGCCACATTTTTAAAGTATTGAAAGGAAAAAAAAGGCCGGTCAAGTTAGAATTCTGTACCCAACAAAAAGGTATTTCAAAAACAAAGGTGAAAGATACTTTTTCAGACACGAAAGCTAACAGAATTCATCACCAGCAAGCCAGCACTGTAAGAGATACCCAAAAAACTTCAAGTAGAATACCAGATGGATAAATGGATCTACACAGAGGAACAAAGAGCTCCAGAAATGGTAACTACTGGAATAAGATTTTTATTTATAAATCTCTTTAAAAGAGAATGTTTTAAAAAACAAAACAAAACAAAAACAGGGCACCTGGGTGGCTCAGTCAGTTAAGTGTCTGCCTTCAGCTCAGGTCAAGATCCCAGGGTCCTGGGGTAGAGCCCCATGTTGGCCTCCCTGCTCAGTGGGGAGACTGCTTGGAGAAGGCTGCCTGCCGCGCCCCCCCCCCACCACCACTCTGTCAAACAAATAAATACGCTTTAAAAAAAACAAAAAAAAACAATGCAGTGAGGGGCTTTTACATATATAAACTGTGAAACAGCACAGCCTCTAACAAGTCTGACCAGGATGTAGGAAGGAAAGTAGAAATATATCACGAACTAAAACTGGACTCTAACTGGAGGAAGAGTTTAACAAAAATTGTAAGAAATACCATGTACTTCTACCAATTAATTTGGAAAGATAAAGAAAATGGTTGATTTTTTTAGAAAGGTATGAATTATTCAAATTGATTTCTGAGAAAGTAGGAAACAAATAGTTTCCCCCATGGCTAATAAGGAAAAATGGGGGGAAAATCATTTATTTCTAAGACTGTTTTATGAGTTCAACAAGTCTTAAATTAACAGATAATTCCTATATTATTCAATTTTCTTGCCAGGGCATAGAAAAAGATAAGCTTACCAATTCATTCTATAAAACTAGCAGAACTATAATTCCCAAACCACACTAATAAACAATTTTTTAAAGAAAACCTCATGAATACCTATCTAAATCTTAACATTTTTTAAAAATAGAATTCTAGAGTGTTAATGGCACAATATATTGTAATACAGAGTTTTTATAACAGGATGAAATGATGGTTCAGGATTAGGAAACCGATAAAAAAAAGACTACTACTATGCTGAAGCCTCCCTTTTTTATTCAATTATTTGACAAATGTTCATTTACTCATCAAAAATTTACCAAGTATTACTGTAGTGCCAGGCACTGGATAATGAGAATTCAGTGGTAAGACATGGTCTCTGCCTTCATGGAGCTACCTAGAGAGATACAGATAAAAAGAAAATTAACACAGTATAAGGCTATGACAAAAAAAATACAGGGTACTATTATTGTATTACATAAATTGGCACATTGGGGTGCTGTTGGAATAATCCTGTTGAGGATGATTGCCCCTTCTCAGATGATGGCAGTTGGTGTGAGGAATATGGACCTACAAAATATGATTAGAAAGTAGCATCAAAAATGTTGGTTGATTGGAAAAAGAAAGGTTGAGTCAGATTCTTTGGAGGTCTTAATATCTTAGTGTTATGCACAAAAGGGTCAAATAAGTTCGGAAAATACTAGGTTAAGCATAAAGATTTCTTTACTGCAGTACTTGTCAGAAGCTTCGTGGTGTTGTCACTAAGAGAAAGACACCCAATGTTATAGTACCCAACTTTACCAAAACACTTGATTACAGAACCCTTATTGTGCAAAACACCTTGTGAGAATGGTGGTTCAGGAACACATGGGGAGAAACTGCTCCCACAGAAACACCTCTTTCTTCCTACTGCAGCTCCCAAACTGACGTGAATCATCTTACTAACTATATTCAGTTTGTTGAGGCTGTCTTGTTTGATCCCTTTACACAGGACATTTATTGGTTTGATTACCCTCAACTGGGAGAGATTGAAGTGAAAAAGTTTCGCTGAAACCTCAAAAGGGGTGTGTCCCAAGTCATTAAAAAAATAAAAAGATTATTCCGAACCAGGATTACCTATGAATCAATATGAAAAGAACTGACCCAAAGATAAACTGCAATAAAGCAGAATACATCTTTGTGAATCTCTATAAAAGCTAACAAATATTCATACAGGTAAGATACCTGAGAACAAGCTCACTGGAAACAAATCCTTCTATTAAACTGCTAAAGCAAACAGAAACTTTTGATCCTAATGCTCTCCATGTTGAGTAAATAATTCCATTTGCCTAAAACTGCATGCACTGCATGCATTTTATTTACAAACAGGGAAGACCTGAGAGTACGTGAACTCTCAGAGGCTAACTTGAACTAGTTAGCTAATGCTCAGAACTATAATCCATGTCACCGAAAATCTGACTCTAAAATATTAAGTTCTATATGTACAAAAGGAGTATTTCAGGATGCTCTAAGAACAGACATTCTTAACATTAGGCAATCACTGAATTGAAGCATATTGCTAATGTCGTATACAGTAAGTGATGTCAAAAAAATAAGGCACAGTCCTTTTTATGTTTTCAATATATTAAAAAGCAACAGAGTACAAATGCTGTGATTAATACTAAAAAGGATCAAAAATTTTCGAGGAATGATATTTTTATAAACAAGTCCTACAACAAAGAGGAAACAGCATCTTGATACACAAAAGTTCTGCTAAACAAGATCTTAAAATTTTTAAATCAGAAAATGTTTAAGACTAAATTCTTTCAAATGTTCAAACAAAAAAGCAACCTGTACAATCTCCACAATAAAATGTATCCTTATACACATGTCCTGGGCACTTTGAAAATGTCAGAATTTTAAAAATTTGAGTGTTAGAGGCAGCACTTAAAGGCTTCAGGAACCTTTTTTTTCCTCACAAAAGCATACTTTCAGTAAAACATTTTACCATTTTTATCTGACTATGCATTTACATTTGTGTTCTTCCTGAAAAGGGGGATTTATATTAACACTGTATTTTTAATGTAAAAAAATACATTTAAAAATATTTAACTTCCTGAGTGACTTCAGGTATACATCAAACATGACTTAATGAGCAAATTCTAAAATTTTAGAATGAGATAGCATGTATAAATTTACAATTTTATGTTCAATTAGAGAAAAATTCAAAAGACCAGGTCACAGAACTTACACTAAGAATTCTCTAAGAAGTCAAATATGATTTATCCCCAAACTTTACCAATAAGCTTTCTACGTAAAATGTTAGTAAAATGAATCACTGAAATTGATTTTCTCATTTAACAAAATATTGATAGTCAATTCAGACTATCAGAACTTGAATGTTTTCTATTATACACACCAAAATGATTCACTAACAAGAAACTTCTTGCAATACAAAAAGATAATTAAAATATTTGCTTTATAATACAACCAACACATATAATACATCCTCCTTCCTCATTTGTCTAAAATGATTAGGAATTGTGGCACTTTCTTTTGCATAAAACCCTTTCCTCTTCATAAAACCCTGAGGTGAAAGGTTATTACTGTAGTAAAACTGGAACCACAACCCTTATTTCTGTATTAGACTGTAGCAATAGGTTTTAAAAATTTTATAAAGAAACGTGGCAACTTGTAAAGCTGCTCTGTACAGTTTAACAAAACATTTCCAGGTCAGTTTAGCCAAAAGGACCTAGAATGACCCTATAACAACTTCGGACCTAGAATGACCCTATAACAACTTCGTCCTTTTAACACTTGTTAGTGTCGAGATGAACGCCATTTTCCATCTCGGCTGTTGTCTCTTCTGTTATCATAGTCGTGGCTCCAGCCATCAGGATTCCTATCCTCACTGAAGCAGTCATCCCTGCTTCCTCTGTAATGATGATCAGACCCATGGTCAGTGTACCACTGTTCACGGCTATAATGTCGATCCGGGATGTAGGGATGAGAATTCTGTCTGACTTTACGTTGTGATGATGGCGTATCTTGGCGCCACTGGGTGCTTGAAGACTGGTTAAAACTATGACTATGCGATGGGGAAAATCCTGATGGATCCAGATGTGGAGAACCAAATTTCCCACCATAGGACATCTGTCTCAGAACACTATTCATCTAAGAGAAGACAAAAAGGAAATGTTAACTGCAAGTATTTCTAGGTATCAAAGCCAATATATATTTAGTCACAGTGAACCAAACACATAATGATGGAAAAGCAAAATTACTCTTGCCCATATAGATCTTAGGTTAAACAGAACTCAAAGTAAAAAAAAAAAAAAAAAAAATACAATGGCTTTGTTCATTCCAATGTATACCTGTAAGCTATTTGTACCTAACTACTACTCCTTGCCCTCAAGAATACAACTTAGAAGGGAAGAGGTCATACAAATGATTATAATGTAAATTACTGTCTAATGAACACATAAAGAGCCAAGAGCTCAGGAACAGTAGGAAAGGCTTCACGAAGGTGGCATTTTTATCTAAGTATTAAAAGTATGGATGGAATATTTTAAGGAAATATACCAAGGAAAGGAAATTGCAAAGATAATAAGGAACAATGAGTTTGTAGAATAGCAAGAATTCTGACTGATAACAGATCTCATAAGCAGTGAATAATGGAGTTAGGCTAGAAAGGTTTACTGGCATCAGATGACGGGAGTGCCTTATAAGTAGGCTAGAGAATTCAGACTTTATCTTGCAAACGACAGAAAATCAAATTACCAGGAAGATAAGCGAAACAGGATTGTAACATTCATTTTGAAACATTGAGATGTGAGATGGGCTAGTGAGGAGAAAACGGAGACAAGTACGAACTGACTAGACCAGTGGTCCCCAAGGCTGCCTGTGGATAAGCATTAGCCAGTCATGATTTTTTTAAATAGCCTATACCACAATGAGAAAAATATGTGGTATTTACATAAAAGTTGACATCCCTTTATATTGGTCCCTCAAGTTTACTTTATTTCACTTATATTTTTATTTTGCAGACCTGCAAAAAGGTGAGGGGTCACAAGCCAACACTGTGATTTGGGCAAAGAAAAAAAGAAGAAATGAATTCAAGAAAAGGAAAAAAATAAAGGACTTGGTGACAAAATGAAAAAAATGAAAGACTGGAGACAAAGATGGAACAATAAAACACACCAAAGATTTTAAGCCTATTCTCACAGTCTCGTTATTACAGAAAAAATGGAAATGAAGAGGAAACTGGTCAAAGAGTCCAATCAAAATATTCAAGTACTGTTATTAAGCATTAAGGAGAATGTACGGTAAGCAGCTCTTCAGCACAGGTTGCAAGAATATCAGAGAATAAATTTCCAGTCCTTGAAACACACACATACACCCCCAACCCCCAACAATGGCTGAAGAAAAATACAAATGTGAAATGCAGTTCTTCTATTTATCTTCAATCTGTTAAACATGTTTTTCAGCCCAGTGAAAATCAAAATGGGTGATCAACCTACAGAGATCATGCTAGTCTAACTAAAACTTAGAACATTATTTAAGAATCATTTGAACATTTTTTAAAACATTTATTTTAGAGAGAGAGAGAGAGTGAGCGAGTGCATGCAAGCGCACATGCACGCCCAAGTAGGGGCAGGGGCAGAGAGAGAGAGAATATCAAGCAGACTCCCCACTGAGCACAGAGCCGGAAATAGGGCTCGATCTCACCACCCTGAGATGACCTGAGTCAAAATTAAGAGTCAGATGCTTAACCAACTGAGCCACCCAGGCACCCCTGTTTGAACATTCTAAGTTTTTGGGGTTTTTTTTTTTGAAGATGTCTGAGTTTTAGTCAACATTTTTGCACAACCTCTAGAGACATTATTTAACTTCAGTTATAAGTACCTTTAGACCCAACAAATATGTCTCAAGAAGTGTATTTTAGTTTATTTGCAGAGGAAAGTAAATGAGTGATAAATATTATTTTACAGCCATGAGAGAGATGCAAGTTTGTAGCATAATGTTGTTAATTGGCTGATAAATTTAGACTGGGTGTTCAAAGAATTCAGGTGTCAGCAAGCGTTCAATATATCAAAATGTGACTATTTTTGGGAAGCTGAGTTTAAAACCCTCCAAGTACATAAATCACTGGTAAAAGCAATTACAACTTCTGCTTTTGTCTTTGTAAGACAAAAAACTTCTTGTGACAAATTTTGAAAACTTCATAAACTGAATTGTATTTGCAAGTGTACACCGTATTCTGTTGCGTTGCATAATTATCATATAACGTGATACTTTATTCAAAAACCTAATCATGATTTTCTGGGTTTTCAATTATATTGTGTTGCTCTTTTTCATTAAATTTTCTGTGTAACACTCCATGGTTTCAAATTTTAGCAGGCTGCAACTTAATCTCAGTTCTGCCTTTGCTAATTTTATGACCTTTCTAACCGTTAATTTTCCTATATAACATGGCATATATCTCAGTTACCCTGAAGAATAAGTAATATATGTAACACTTTTAGGTGATATTGCCTGACACATATTAATTAATCAATACATTGTAACTATTTTTATTTTTGTAGGGACTTTATTTGTATTTGTGTGTGTGTGTGTGTGTGTGTGTGTGTGTGTGTGTAAGCTACCTAAAGGCTTAGTCTAGACATTTAGGTAACCCCAGTTCTAGCTCTAGTAGATGCTAATCAAGGTCTAATTTGTTTTAAATTCAAAAATTTGATAATTTACTCATCATGAAACTAACTTTTTAGGTAATACCTTAGAAATTATTCTATTTGTAGAAGACTGCATGGTATTTTTCATGGCTACTAAGAGACTAGCTTGTCTGTACCTATGAGTAAATAGCACAACAAAGATATGTGCTAGTTTTTTTAATAAAAGGAATTATTACTTTATTTAAAAAGAAAAAAGAAAGGAAAAGAAAAAAAATAAGGGGCGCCTGGGTGGCTCAATCAGTTAAGCATCTGCCTTCGGCTCAGATCATGATCTCCAGGTCCTGGGATCAAGCCCCATTCGGGCTCCCAGCTCAGCAGGGAGTCTGCGTCTCTTTCTCCCTCTGCCCCTCCCGCCTCTGCCCCTCCCCTGCTTGCGTTCTGGTTGTCTCTCTCAAATGAATAAATAAAATCTTAAAAAAAAAAAAAAGAGAAGAGAAATATCAACCTACCACTGCTTGTCTCTGAAAATTTTCTGGAGAAGAGAAAGATCTCTGAATTATCTGTACTGATGGAGTCATGTTATCCACAGTCCTTTCATACCTGTGAAAAATAAGAAAACCAACATATAATCATCAGTTTAACATATATTTACTACATACCAATCATGAGCAAGACACAGTGTCAAAGGTAGGAATGAACAAGACAAGGTATCTATCTGCTCTCATGGATAAGGGTAAGGATTCAGACAGTAAAACAACTTCACCTTGTTACAAGTGATATAATAATTGATTAAAAAGCAAGTAATGGGATAGAGATAGGGGTTCTATTTTAGCTCTGCTGGTCAGGGATGGTCTTTCTAAAAATGAGACACGTCTGAAGTGAAAACTAAGTAACAAGATTACCTGGAGACAAAACATTCCAGCTGAGGGAAGAATTAGCACAGGGGTAAGCAAGCTATAGAGCCTGTGGGCCAAACCCTGTTCTTCTAACACTCCTGTCTGTTTTATCTATGTAGTGTTACAATGACTAAGAAAAAGAAAAAAAAAAGTATGGCCTGTAAAGTCTGAAACATTAACTATATGGCCCTTCATAGAAAAAAAAACAAAAAACCTTGTCAAACCCAGGACTAGTGCAGACGCCTAGGTTGAAAACTAAGATGAAAGGATTTGGTTGATTAGATACGACAGATGAAGGAAAAAGAAAAATAAAGGATAAAATCTAGATTTTTGGCTTGAGCAATTATGTGGACATTTACTGTGAGAGGGAAGAGGAACAGGTCTGGGGGAGCAAGAAATTAAGAGTTCTGTAACATAAATAGGATATTAATTTTAAAGAATTATACCTTATTCTCAACTCCTAAAAAAGTAGCTTGCTCTACAGAAAAAGTCACTTTAGCAAGTGCTTTAATTTTATTTTAAAATACTTAGCATCAAATCACTAACTGATTTGTCTCATAGTTTAGATCTTTTCATTTTGGGTTTTCTTAAATCCGGTTAGACATGTGTATGTTAAAGGGGTAAAAAGTCTAAATTTCCTTTTTTTTTTTTTTAAGATTTTATTTATTTATTTGAGAGAGAGAATGAGAGATAGAGAGCATGAGAGGGAAGAGGGTCAGAGGGAGAGGCAGACTCCCCGCCGAGCAGGGAGCCCGATGCGGGAACTCGATCCCGGGACTTCAGGATCATGACCTGAGCCGAAGGCAGTCACTCAACCGAGCCACCCAGGCGCCCCTATAAATTTCCTTTTAAGAAAACAAAACGATGTGCACTCTAGCCTTAAATTAAAAACAACTTATTTACTTGTGTATTTTTTTCCAAAGAAATTCTCAGGGAGGTAAAACTTTTTCCTCCACCTGAGATACCTTTGAAGCTTCTACAAAAGTGGTTTGAGATGCTTCAAGTTCCAAATGTGCTGAGAAGTATTTAAACACAATTTCAGTTGGCAAGAAAGGTTGCTAAGAGGTACCATTTTTACACTATTCTTTCTAGGAAATTTTACTTTCCAGTTATCTTTCCATACTGAAGCAACTTCGCTCCACATCCTGGCACCACCCTAATCCAAACCAACAACCTCACCCTAATAACTTCCTTGCTATCTTGCTACTAATAGCAATACTTAGCTACCAATAGCTTCCTAACTGGTCTATTTTAAGCCTTGTCCCCTCCAATGAGCCATTCTCCCACAGCAACCAAACAACTTATTAAAATACAAACCTCTTCTTGTTACTATCCTACTGAAAACATTTCAATGTGTCTCTACTATTTTTAGGAGAAAATTCCCAAATCTTAACTACGGTCTGTAAGAAAGACCCTCTTTCTACTTCACCAACATCATCTACTACTCCATTTTTCCTCTTTTAGTTCCTCATTCATTTATATCATCTCTCCTTGTTAAACCGTTCTCCAAGCACATTCTATGATTTCTTTAGAGAACTTATTAAACAGGTAGTCGCCAAATATATATGTATCTTCCTATAGACTTTTAAGCTTCACTCTGCAGCCTATGACAGTGGCTGGGGCTCAGTCACAATGCCTGGGTTTCAATCCCAGCCCACTGTTCATGAGCAGTTCAAACTTGAGCAAGTTAATGTCAGTCTTCACTTTCCTCACATACAAGGTAGAACTAACAATAATCCCTACCTCCTAAGACTGCTGTGAGAAATAAAACCATAAATGCAAAGGACTTGGTGAAGAACCTGACACATGACAGATATTTGTTGACTCTTCCTTGAATGAAGCCCATTATGACTGATGAATAGCTCTACCGATAAACCAGGGGGAAAAAATGTCCCTGGTAAAATATCACGCTTCCCAAAGCAAATAAAATTATTTAGTATAAACATGGTACCTTTTCTAACCCTTAGTAGCTGGAAGAGACTCTGGAGAGCATTCAATTCAGCTTTTCCTTACAAATGGAAGGACAGGACCAGAGAAATGAGACTACTTCAGGATTACACAATCGGAGAGGCAGACCTAGAATCCAATTCTATAAACTCTTAGTCCAACAGTCTGTTACTGATAGGTATTTTTAAACTGCAAGTAACAACAAATTAGTGGTCAAAACTAATTTGAATTTTTAAAAGAAAATAAAATAGAAAATAGAGTATACTGAAAGTAGAGAATAAGTAATGTTCTGCGAAATTTCCAGTTACATATTAAATATGTGGCTATGGGTATATGTCTTCACAAATGAACATAATTATAGGTACATATATATCTATTTTAGGGGTACTATATGTCTGTAGTCCCCTTAAAATAGATACCTAATTATAATCCAAAATATAATATAGCAGAAAAATAAAGAAGTAGGCACTTAAAGAAGGAAACAAATCCCTCAGTATGTTTTGAGATCACTACCTAAAATTTCTAATAAATGATTTTAACAATAGGTCCAAAATATTACCTGCTAGGAGATGTAGAGGTAGGGCTTGAGTTTCCAACATGATGCTGGGGATATGGCAAACTGACATCCTGTGAGGCATGGCTACTTCCTAAAATGAAGTAATTTGAGAAATTATCCTTGACAGAACAAGTTGAAATTTTATCCCTCCTACCCCAAAACATGCCAAAAAGGTAGACTGAAGCTACGAGAGAAAACTTCAAATTTCACTAGACCGCTTTACAGTTTCATCAGAATGAAAATTATGTGTTTAGTATCAGATATATCCCAAACAAAGGGTTCCAAATAAGTACTATCCAATGTACAAATATCCAATCTGGCCATAACATTCTGATCCCCACACTAAATTTTAACTGGATACATGGAAAGTTTCATCCTCACATGATCCAGAATCAAAATTTGTAAATGTAAATCACAAAGCAGCCAGGAAAAGTATTTTTAGAAAACAACCTCACTCTTTTCAGAGCAGGAACCCAAACCCAAGTCTTTTTAACAACAAAGTTTATGCTCTTTTTAGCAACCCAAACTCAATTTTAAAATGACGATTTTCAAAATCCATGTTGTCAACGTTATCTAGTTTCAGGGATATATAAAGCTTACTACCCACAAAGCTTAAGGTATTTTCATCCAACAAGAGGTTCTTTAAAAATTGAGTAATAAAATTAAAAACAAAGAACAAAGCGGCAAAAAACCCGTCTCCCTAAATAATAACACTGAACAGTTACCTGATCTAAATTGAATTTTGATGGGCCTCCCAAAAAGTTTGATTCCATTAAGTAGATTCATCGCATAAGGAACAGATACTTCATGTTTGAAATTCACAAATGCGAACTGTTTTGGTTTACCATCCTTATCTTTTGGAATTTTCACTTTTACTACCGGTCCAGCCTACAAACAAAAGAAAGTCTTCAGAATTTAAATGAGGAAGTTTAAAAACAACAGAAATGTAACCAGGAAAAGTCTAAAAAATGGACACACAGGGATTTCCACCTCAATTAAACATTCTATAGATATGACTCAACACTTGATTCATTTATTTGGGGAAAGAAGCCTATAAGGAACTGGAAACAGTCACTCAGTTTACATTTCATATGACTTTTTAACAAGGCAACCAACATCCACCACTTTCCCACTCCAGGTACCGTTTATCACGAGCTAGAAAAAGTGGTTTCCTTGGACTAAAAATTCACTTTTGTACTGATTAACCAAATATTGCCAGTTGTTAGAGAATGGAACTGGAAAGAACAAGAAATTCTGAACTTTTAACACATTTTAATGCAGATTCGAATACAGAAACACTACGAGTCTGCTGTTCTATGGAGTAGTCTATTTTAAATATTTTAACGCTGCAATTAATTAAAAAAAAAACTTAAATGGAAACAGATACTAACCAAGCAACTGAAATCTAATTAGCCAGATAAACCGAAGACAAAGTGCCTTAAGGGGAAGGATGATGAGCAAAGGAACAGGAAAAAGCCCTGCTCCACGAAGAACCCACACCTATCGTGCCCCTTAGGATCCTTGAATCTTTACCTCGGGAAGGCTTCACTGAGGAAGCCTCCACCACCCTGGAGTGAACTAAGGTTCTTCCCATAAAGCGACACCCAGCGAGCGCCTCACTTTCCCAGTGGACCTCCGGCCCCAAGCGGCCCACCCGTCGGGCGCCCGGACCCACAGACCCCCTTTCCCCAAGAAGGCGGGCATGACCGTCGGACCGGGCCGTACGGGAGCCGTATAGCGAAAGGAAAAGCCTGCTGTCGGCCGCTGACCTGGTGGAAAAGCTCGAAGAGGAGCTCCTCGGTCACTTTAGTTTCAAGGTTGCCCACAAAGAGAGTGCGATCCGCTTCCGCCGCCGCCGCCCCCATCTCAGCGTCGCCCCCTCCCTAAAAAGGCCGAGGGGGGGGTCGTCGCCGTCGCACTTACTGCGCACTCTCGGAAACCCCACGTCCTTGCCCTCCCGGGCGTCACGGACGTAAACGTCAATCACGCTCGCTCCCGGCCGGCGCCGCGGTGCGCGGACGCGCTGCGCATGCTCGCGAGGAGAGCGCCGAGGAGAGGCGGCTCGTTGGTCGGCCGCGGCTCTACTTATGGCCGCGCATGTAGGCAGTGGCGGCGTTCGAGACGGCCTGGACCGATCTGTGGAGCCGCGAAGGGCCCACCTTGACCGAGGGACGTAACAAACACTGCGGGCAGTGTTTGAAGATGGCGCTGAACAATGTGTCCCTGTCCGCCGGCGATCAAAGGACCAGGGTGGCCTACCGCGCGTCCCACGGCGACCTCAGCCCGTCGGCCTTAGCGCTGGCGATGGTCTCCGGAGACAGCTTCCTCGTTGCCAGGCCCGAGGCTATTCTTTCAGGACCCACTCCTCGTCAGGCCCTGCGGCCGACCGTTCGTACCGAGAGCTGTCGGACGAGTGGGGGTGGCCGGGGCCCGACCCGCTTTATAAAGGGAAGGGAACCTGCTGGACAGAACCGGAGCAGCCATACCAGATTCTCACCGTATCCGACCCCCGGGGTTAAATTGGATCTCCTGACGAGCCTGCTGCAACAGCGGCTGATTGCCATTGGAAGTGTGATCGCAGCCCGCCTCTCGGCTTAATACCTCCCTCTGCCCCTCGATTCGCTTGTAAACAAGGTCTCTCTAAAGTCCTTCCTTGGTGCCTTGGCAGTCTTATTTTCAGAGGGATGTATTTTCATTTTAATATAAAAACAACGTAGGAGTCATGTTAATACGGCTTAGTGCGGAGGAAAATTCTTACCGCTGAATTCCGATGGTTTTGGGCGGCCAGAGTGATTAAATCAGGAGGGAGGTAGAAGAGATTTTCTTCTTAGTCACAAAGCTGAACCACCCTTCCCAGAGGTCAGCAATCATTTTTCACCCCTGGTGCACTCCATCCCAACAATGGACCCAAATTTCTCTGCTTTCCACAAACCTTCTCTCCCACCCTGGCAGATTCTCCTACTTTGAGACTTGTAATTGGAAACGGCCTACGCCTCTACCCCAGACTATTGCCATTACGTTTACTTCTGTTGCTGAAAAGGAAATGCTTCTTTTTACTCCCCTGGCTTATTCTCCCATAGGGCCTGAGGCTTATCCAGTCCTCTTGCCTTTAACCCTTTTCCATCTCCCTCCACTTTTTCTTCAGGAATATCTACAAACTCCAATCTCAGCCATACCAAAAACAAAAGCAAACCTAAACTTTGCTGCTTTTTCACATTATTAAGCTAGTTTCATTCCTTTTTTTGCCAAAGGCTCCAAATGAGTTTTTACATTTCTATTTGTTATTTTATTATTAGCATTCAATCCCAGTTTCCTTAATCTGAGTCTGTTGTCCCGAAATAGAATGGTGGATAATTTAGGCTTACAGCCTCCTGTTAGGAAGCGGTTCATCAATTCACTGGAGCATCTTCCCGCAATGTTCTTGTTTATTTTTATTCATTCACCATTCAACAGTATTTGAAGATCTTCCCAGTGGTGAGCACTGTGGATAAACTACAGTCAAGGAATGTATTCTAGATAGGGAGGCTAATAAATCAATAGGTAATCACTGCACTGGACTGTTCATTAGGTACAGTGATAACAATAGCATTGGTTGCAATGGCTTTCCATAATACTGTACTATCCTGGTTCTCCTACCTGGTTGATCACTCCTTATTTTCTGATATTTTTATTCTCTTAACCATATATTTTCTAAGGTTTAAAGGGTGGTATGGGGAGAAAATTAGTGGGGTTTTTTAAGTGCCAACTCTCTGTAAGCAGGTAGACTAGCTTTTTCCCAGTGGACTCTTATGTATAATTATGATCAGGTAAAGCAAAATTACCACATACCACACAGTACTGAATTGTTAGAACCACATCTGAAGAAGAATGTTGGTAAATCCCAAGAGCTTCCATAAGAGAGTGATTAATATGGTGAGAGATCTGGAAACCAGGTCATAGAAAAAATGGTTGAAAGGATAATAACAGCTATGTTTTATGGAGTGCTATGTGTAAGGCAATGTTGTAGAGGCTTTTATTCATTATTTATTCAGATATTTATTGAGAACTTATTCTGTGCCTGATATGACCTGTATTAGGCATTTAGAATAAAGTGAACAAGTTCAATAACGTCTCTGCTTTGGTGGAGCTTTATATATGTCATTTAATTCTCACAATGGCCCATAAGAGAGATATCATACTTCATTTTATTGCCCAGAAACCAAGGCACAAAGAGATGAAGTAGACTTTCCAAGGTCATACAGCTAGTCAGTGATAGAGCCTTAAAGCTCTATCATCCAGTTTCCTCATTTGAACCATGCCATACAAAAAGTTACTTGAGTAACTATTTTCTCAGTTCTCTCAAAGATAGCATATATCTAATACTCTTCTAACCTAAAAGATTAATTGATAATATACGATGGGTGCCTTAGACTGGGCATTACAAAAACCTGTAATTGAGAAAGGAATCCCAAATCTATATGTTAACGAGTTTTAGACTGGGAAGAATAATAAAATTAAGGCTAAAGGTAAGAAGTGTTTTCATAAAACTTAGAGATGCCTAATAGTGAAAAATAACACCTCACAAGGTAAGTTCAGCCAAAAACTTCAGAGGCTGAATACTATCAAGTATGAAATAGGATTATGTCTTCTTAGATCTTCCCCCATTTAACCTATAATTCTGTACTTTAAAAAATAAACTTGTTAAAATGAGAAGTGGAGAACCAAATGAGAAGAGGAAAATGAGGTATAATACACAGGATGACCATTTTACTGTACAAACCAGGACACGAGAGTGGGAGAGGGTGCTATCAACTATGCTGAGGCAACAGGCGTGAATAGAGGCTGTTCCAGGCCAGCTAACCCTAGGAGTAGGAGAAAAGCTGAGATTTGTAAATGAAGAAACAAGGTTCTGGCATAAAAGTGCACATGAGAAAAGGAAGAACCCAAGGGGAGTGTTATCATTTCTGTTTGTTTAGGTGTGAGATCATCAGGAGTAGGGCTTTGATTGAGTAATAGTGTATATGTGCCAGAGGAAAAAAAAGAAAAAAAATGTGTGGTTTATTGTGCTTTGTTTGACAGGAGGAGACCCTTGTTCACATAAATGTTCCATCATTTTAAATCTGAGCCAATGAATATCTAAATTCTCCTTAGCATCTGTGCTAGTGTCCAAGTTACAATGAGTCGCAAAGACCGTATCATGGAAGCAAGAACCAATGTAAACCTCTGTCAATGAAATTACCTTGAAGTAGGGACAAAGTTTTCCCAAGAACAGTCCATGTCATTAAAAATGTTAGTGTACAAAATAAATATTTAACATCAGTGGTGAAGTATAGCATGTTGGCATTCTAAAATAGATGCATTTTCTAAGAGTAACACAAGAAAACAGTCCAAAAAATCAATACTTAACGTTAGTTTAAAAAAAATTGTAAATTCCTGTTTGTTTTTTATTGTCTCGTATTTATCATATCATAATAACTGACTAGCATGTGTTGAAGTGGAATCCTATTAGAATATTTACTTTCTCTATTCATCAGCACTAAAGCTCTTAAAAAGAATGCCCACTAGGGATATAGAAAAAAGAGGCCAGGAGACTTTCCCTCAGTATCTGGATTTCGTGATAAGCCTTACCTCTAAAGTGGGGTACCTTGGAAGAAAAGGAAAGGAGGGAGGAAAGTCCTACAGGAAGGATGAGTAAGTTAACTTTTGATGGTCAGAGGCTCGGCTGTCTTGCGAGCAAAATTGGTTGTCTTTCATTCCTTCAGTGAATCCAGATCCTGTTAAGGTACAGCTTAGAAATATACTTCTTTGTAGAAAAACGAGATCAATACATACGACAAGTGGTTCATGTTTTATCACCTTGTTAGGGAGTCATGATATATAGTAATATGTTAAATGTTCTGATAATTCCTTTAGAAAAAGAAAGCTGTTTAACTTCATTTTCACCAGGGTTTCACAAATTTATTTGTCCATAAGTTTAAAATTTTTGCATACTACCTCTCTTCCCAATGAGCCTCAGTTCTACAGAAACATAATTCTATATGCTGCCTTACCTAAGAAGTTTCATTGGCTCCCCACGTCAGGTATTAGAAATGGACTTTTATATAATTAGCAGAATTTGCTAAGTTTCCAGAATGTTATTATAAGTCAGGCAAATTGGTTGGTTTCCTCACTCGTGGTTTGATAAGATTCAATCTTTATTCCACATGATGACTGTTACCCATCATTGTCTTTGGTGAGTGGGTGGGAGGAGGGAGGCAAGCATGTAGCTGCAGATTCCCCAGCCACTGAGGATCCAGACTGGCATTGTCACTAAGGGAAGGTATTAGGAACATCCCCTGATGAAACTTACTTCTTAAGCATGCTAATAATGTAATATTTTTTTAAAATGTAATGATTTACTTGGCTGTTAGCTTCACAGGAATATCTGAAGACAGCCCTTCTTCAAAATACACTTCTAAATGAGAAGAAAATACTGCCTTCAGCTTCCCAAAGACCTGAGAGTAACTGAAGCAATGCAACTCTTAAAAATTGCAGACTCCGGGTGCCTGGGTGGCTCAGTTGGTTGAGCGACTGCCTTCGGCTCAGGTCACGATCCTGGAGTCCCGGGATCGAGTCCCACATCGGACTTCCTGCTCAGCGGGGAGTCTGCTTCTCCCTCTGACCCTCTTCCCTCTCGTGCTTTCTATCTCTCATTCTCTCTCTCTCTCGCAAATAAATAAATAAAAAATCTTTAAAAAAAAAAAAAAATTGCAGACTCCACAAACTGACTTTTAAGACTTTACAAAATCTGACCAGGCTACATTGCCAGCCTTCTTTCTCATAATGTGCCCACGTGCCTGCTGTTCTTTCCTGCCGCCGTGCCTGTGCCTATTCTAGTCCCCTTAACTAAATCGTTTGTACTTCTTGTTTTCTGCCAGTTAAACTTCTGTCCATCCAGATTGGTCCAGTTTCTTTACATTACAAAGGACACACCCATTTTAACAACGTTAAGCAAAAAATGGACCGGACTGACGCCGAGAGCTGGAAACATGCGGAGAATATGGGATGTTCTGTCCATTAAGCAACTATTTATCCTCCAAGAGCACCTTGGTTTTTCTTTTCTGTGGAGCTGCCTCCCTCATCCTCCATTCATGTATCTGGGGAGAAGCTTAACACCTACCTCCAGGGATAGAGTTATAATCCATGTCTTACCTCTTCTACTACCTTGAAGCTCCCTGAGAGCAGACAACATGTCTAAATTTATTTTTAGGGGCGCCTGGGTGGCTCAGTCGTTAAGCATCTGCCTTTGGCTCAGGTCATGATCCTGGAGTCCTGGGCTTGGGCTCCCTGCTCAACGGGGAGTCTGCTTCTCCTTCTCCCTCTGCTCCTCCCCTGCTTGTGTGCTCGCTCTCTCTCTCTCTCCCTCTCTCATTCACCCTCTCAAATAAAATCTTTTTTAAAAAATTTATTTTTATGTTTACTTGTACCTATTACCCAAAGAGTAGATATTTAATGAATGCCTGTTACATGAATGAATGAACTTCACGTAGGCTATCTCTCCTTGGAATCAAAATCCAAAAGTGGAGCATTCCGGGAAGGCAAGGGCAGAAATTGTAGGCCCTTTAGTCTAAAATTATCCAGTTATCTGGGCAGATAAGAGTAATATAGTAAGACAAAATAAGTTTTGTTTGAAG